CGACCCCCGAAGCACTCTCCCCACAGCGGGACTCCCCCTAGAGGGAGGAGAGGGGCGTGAGGGGCCACAGTCCCCTCCTGCTCGACCGATGGCACGCGACCCTGTGTCTCTACCTCATGTGTGTGCTTGTGAGAGAGAGAGACAGCAGCTTAGCAGAGATGTTTTTGGATGTTTGCGCTCCCGTGCAAAACGGTCCCCGGCATCAGCTCACATATTGACTGCACAGTTGATTCTGTCGCACGTGGTCGCACCTGTAGTTGTTCCAGTAGTCGAGCCCCCGGGCGAGTCGAGGATGACCCCCATGCCCCGCAGCGATGGCGTTCGCGGCACGCCCAGCCGACCATCTGCGCTGCTGCGGCCACCCCTCAGCGGCACGTCTGCAGTGGTAACCGTGGCCAAGGCGGCCGAGTCCGCGGACATAAGAGCGAATCGGAGGTCAGCAGGCACTTCCATGTCGGGCTGCGGATGGCAGAGGAAGTCCTGAGGCTCCGTCTCCTTTTTGTGCTCATCCACGGACACTGTTCGCATTCCTTGGCTTTCGGCAAAGCCCAACGCTGCGGCTGCTTTCCTTATTAAGCCCGTTTGTAGTGGCCTTGCAGAAGTGAACAGGGCTGCCGCCCGACTAGGATCACAACGGCAACGACAACTTTAAGTCGGGAAACTAGTTGGGCCAAGCGGTGCAAGGAGAGTCGCTACGATGCAGGTACGCGACCGCCGGAACGAAAAGGTAATGTGCTAACGGCATAGGCCATTAGGCTTGAGTGAGTGGCGCCAGGCTGAAGGGTTGGCCAGATGTGTAAAACTGTGCAGAATGGTGCATAGATGTGCGTCCGGTGAAGGTAACATAGTGTTATCTGTGCGAGACGCTGCATCGTCATAAAACGTCTGTCTACGATATTGAAGCATATGTTGTGAAGCGCCGAATCTGTACACGAATGACGGGTAGCAGAAAACAATGTACAGTCTGTACTGCAGGCCGGCAGTTGGAAACAAAAGGTGCGGCAGGCAGGGTCGGCGCGTGGTTATGGAAGAAAATATTAAAGCTACCCAGTAAACCCAAATATTTTATTACCTTTGCTTGTTGCGCATGATAAAGATGAGTTATGAACAAGTCTACGTTGGGCAACCTGAAATGCGATGTCTGCTGCCAGATCAAGACCTGCATTCACAGCGACTGCCATCTGCTTGTCAATTCCTTGCAATACAAGTGAGCCGTCGGAATCGCGTGAGCGGTGAATCTGATTGCCTGCATGTTCCAAGAAGGAATTCACGAGAACTTATACCAATTCATCGTGCTATACTTTCAGGCGCACGAGTAACCACGGGTTGGGCAACAAAACAACTAAAGGTTGACGTTTCACTGCAGCTGGACATAATCGAAGCTTTGATCGCAGAGATTATTGCATAGGCCGTGCTGAACTGTCCTTGCTCATTGTTCTGGGATGTGGACTTAGCACACGCACCACGAACACGAGAAAGTTCGTTACGCTATTATCACACAATACGTCATGAGGACGTTAAGGTGCTTTGTTGGAACGCCGTTTTGAAGTCATCAACTCCTTCCAACTTTTCCCAAGCGGTGGTGCTGTACCAGTCGTACAACCGCAGTACAAAATTGAAACCCAGGACGAAACGTGAAATGGAGTGTTACCAGATTACCCAGGTATTTTCCGTTGAGGCAACTTAAATAAACGACTCCGTTGCCATGGCACGCATACCTCATAAAATGCCCTCCATTTTTCCCGGACGCGCAACTTGCGTTTCTCATTTTGCGAGGCCCATGAATTGCCAGGACGACCAAATTTCTTTTAAAATGCTGCAATACCTGTGAGGCGTCTGTTACGAGCCTGACGCCTTGCATGTTGCGTATTCACAAATTGCCTAAGCGTCAGAGGTCAAAGCTTGATCATGTAGCCTTTGTAATTTGGTCGGCGTCAAGAATAACAAATCACAGACATATGTCCCAGTTTCCTTCGTATACGCGACCCAGGGACTGACAGGAAACGGTACGGCCAGGCACGGCTGTCGTGGAAGCTGTGCAACGGGGATTCCGCTCGATACGATAGCTTCCTGGCTGGCAAACGGATCGCTGCGGCGCATGCAGCCGTCGCAGCACATTGCCGGCTGTCACAGTGCTTTTTCACGGTCAAAGTCCACCGCGGATGCTCGTTGGCTGTGGCGTATATCACGTGCTGCTTTCCATTGCTGGGCAAGTGGTTGGAACACATGCATACATGTGAGCCGCTCTGCGCGGAGTTGTGAGGGAAACAGTTACTGTAGTTACCGTAGTTGGTGTGAGCTCATTTAAGCTCATCACTGCAGGCGGCGGTGGGCACCATCTCTTCACGCTTTGCATTTCCTCACGCCTTGAGCACATGTATCTAAAAAACATTTTGCATGGACGCCCAGCTCCCACTGTCCATCATGACCTTTGTGAGAGCGCAGCAGATGTTTGAAATGGCGTTAATGGAGACCCAACACAGTCTTCAGTAGAGACGTCGCTACCGTCACTATTAAGGAACGCCACGTGTCAGCGAGCTCGTTGCTTAAAAAGAGACGAACCCCGTACTTCCTTCCTTGGGTCAGTAATTTGGCAGAGCAAAGCGACGGACGCTCAGAAGGGACCGATCAGACATCTGGGAACTTAGCTGTGACGGGGCTGGGAATGCTCGTGAGCACCTCACACATTTGACAGCGCGAGATGCCTCGAGCCGTCAGCCCCAGTTGCAAAGTGTGTCTTTAAAACTGGACCCAGGGGCGACGAACCTCGCCATACCCATACATCCGGCCAGACAGATTACATAACTCCCAAATGGATTCCGCAAGCTAACTTCCAACAAGCGGTGCCGAATGGCAGATGCCTTGGCCCGGTCCGTTCCCACCCTATAAGCTGCTGGCACACCCATGTAATCTTCCAGTCGCCTATATATCTACATACGCAGCTGGTTCGCGCACCACCCCAGCACCTGTATATACGCAGTGTGCCCGCACCGCACCCATACGGCGGGTGGCGAACCCTACATGAGTGCGGGTGTCTTACACCCGAGTACTACTCCCGGAACGCGGCAATGCGTTGCTCCTGTGCCAGCCCCAGCTTGATCACAGGCGCCGGGGTCCTCGTGGGTCCTCGAGCCGCTTGCCCACTCTTTTGGGTCTGTGGGGTGTACTGACCACGAAAACCGGCCACCAGTCACCCGTAACAATCCATTTCTCCGGATTCTTCTAGGCTCACTACCTGCACGTTTCCAAGGCCATAGTTTCCAAGCCCATACCGAGGGACACGCGACACCTGGTTGCCCCCGACGACATGGAGAATAATGTCCTATAGGGAATGATAAAACAAAAGCTGAAATGTGTGAAGCCACCGGCAGCATTAACAAACACCCTCTACCTCGCCGCACTTTTCCAGGTCCCCGCTCCCACCAAAAACATTGACAAGTCGCTCCGCAGCCAGCTCCCTCGCAATGGGTCTGCCCTGTCCTGCCTGGAATCATGACCGATCAAGTACACTTTTCATCTGGTCGTAAAACCCCGCCGGGCAGGTCAATCCCCTGTCAGCCAACCAATCCCCACACAGGCCCGCACAGCAGACGGCCATGTTAGCTGTACATATGGAAGTCTGATTATTTACGCAATCGAATAGCGTGACGAATAGATACATGGTAAGAAACCCACATACCCAGCTAAGGTTCGTCCGACGGGTTGCTTAATTGTCCCGTTTCTAATCGCGCAAGATACACCCATTGCTCTTTAAACAGGACACAAAGCGACCACCACACGTGGCTCAGTACCAACATGTGACATCATTCCATTACTTTACCGCACATCAAGACACACAACGATACGTCCGAGAAAACGCAAAACAGAAGCACGCACTTGCCTCTAAACACCCTAATTGACAAACAGCTGGTAGCAGCACTAGCATGAAATTGGCGCCGTAACGCTCACTCATCCCATTAATACAGAATGCCGTACGAGTCGACAACCGAGCGCATACAAACAAGCGCCCAGCCAGTTAAGTAGTAGTTGGGCCATGCCAACTGCCGTATGGCGCTTGCCAGGACAGTTCCTTTATCTACAACAAAGACCACATCAACGCACCACCCTCCCACGCAACGCGCTTTCCTGCTTGTCCCAGCCAGGCGGGCGCATATCCTCAGCACGGGAAGACCAGCTATTCCTCGTAGGAAAGCAGCTGGTCTTCCCGTGCTGTCCGCAGATGCAAATATATGCGGCAAACCATTGCCCTGCTCACTCACACTTACCTTCATACTTGCAGCACGTTGTATGACTTAACACTACTGCTGTTACTACTACTGTTGCGCTAATTTATCGCTACAGCTGCTCGTATATACACCACCATCGCACCCGTGTCCCTGCGAGTCGAGCCTATGAACCAGTTCGGCTTGCTGGCCTGCTGGCTAGGGCCCTCGCCTGCTGGCCGCTAACCATGACCCCGTCACGACGGGTATATGGTCAGTTAGTTCTGCGCAGTGTCGGCCAAGTCATCGTAGTACTCGTCGGCCTGCACTTACACCCCGGGGGGACACACAGCGCATGGCTTATCAGGTGCACAGGGCTAGCAACCAGTGCAGCAGCCATCCAGTGACCCTCAAGACTGGGGATAAGACCTGGAAGCTACTGCTGCACCATACACCACATAGCAAGTCCGTCCGGCCCGCTGTGTAGAGAGGCAAGGCTTAAAGCCGCTCTACGGCTAATATGAACTTCCCCTGGCTTTGACTGACGCCTGCGTCAGTCGCCTAGCAGTTGTTGCCTCGTCACTGCTTGTCAAAGCAGCTTCAAGCTTCAGGAGGATCCCAACACACGAAGGTGCAAGAGGTCATGCGGATGCACGTCAACCGTCCACGTCTGGGGCAGGCGCGCCCCTGGCCACCAAGACACTCCAAAAAACAGTACATCAGTTAAATGCACCCCTCTTTCAGCCCCTGAACACTGGGACAAAATTGTGTTAGGATATCTACAGGTGCCAGCAGACTCTACTGCAGCTCCCCACCTAGGCTCCCACCACGTGCGCATACCCCACATATCCAGCCCGCCCCCTTCCTCACCTGGCTTCCCAAGAGCACCCGGTCCGCCACCTCCGCCCAGCTACGTACGTCGTAGCCCCACAACCATGCCGTGATGCCCGCGTCACGTGCGCCCCAGCAGTCGTTGCGCCGGTCGTCCCCCACGTGCACGACCTGCTCCGGGAGCAGCGGCCCGAAGTCGGGCGCACACGCCATGACGCCACGAGGTTGCCCCGGAACCAGGGGCCCGAAGTCGGTGAAGGGCGGGTAGGCGTGCGATAGCAGGTAATGCTGCTGCTGTTGCTTTGATGCGGCGGGGCGGGGGCTGGCGATGGGCGTGTGACCGATGGGGATCGTCCCATGCGTCGTGGCAGCGGCGCTGAGTGCCTGGACCGCGGCGTCAAAGATGACGGGGTTGGGTTTCTCCGCGCGAACCTGCGCAGCGCTCATGAGGCGGCAGGCCATGAGCACATCAAGCCGGAGCAGACAGCAGGGAGAGGCGAGGAGACGACGTGAGAAGGGGCAGGCGGGGACAAGAGTACAGCGCGGCGTGTCGGTACGGAGCTTTCCTAGAAAGCTCCAGCGACCCGCACAGTAAGATAACCCGTCGTATCCCGATCTACACCCTCACTCACACGCCGTCTGGTGCTCTCACCTCCGCAGATACGATGACTGCATTGAATAGGTAATCGACCTTTAGGTCCCGCAGCAGTGGCCTAAGCCGGGTGTCAAAATTGGACACCACCGCCAGCAGCACCCCCGCAGATTTGAGCCGCTGGAGAGCCTCCACAGCGCCTGCAGGAGTTAAGGCCGTTGGCGATTGCAACACGTCGGAAATGTGCCGGAAAGGTAGGTAGGCAGGTGGGGCTGCAGGGCGCATAACCAGCATTGCGTGGTTATATGCAAGGCCCCAGAAACTGTTCCCTCGGTTCCCCGCCTAATGGTTCCACATCTTCGTTAACGGCGATACTCTCGTAAACACATGGAAGCCGATTGAAGCCCAAGGCCCCCAAAGAAGGCTTTTCCCTCAGAGAAGCTCACACAAGTCACAAGGCCAGGAAAAACGTGCACTTGCAGCCCGACGTACTTTCTAGGGCAGATGTAATGCTTGGAGCTCCACAGCTTCACGGCCCAGGGAGACCACCATCATGCTCCCACCACCATGACCCCCCCAATAATCTCCCCAGTGCCATAACCCTAGTGAGTGCCGCAGCGGACGGCGCCACCACAGCCGTATGGCGCTGCAACCTTATCAGCGCACCTGGCACCACATGCCACGCCTCTGCGCGCGCATAGTACTGGTATATCGCCTCCGATACCTGCAATCCGTAATCCAAGCAACTCGATGAAACGGCCCCACAGGCACTGCAGCTGTGATGGCTACATGCAACTGATTGCATACAAGCGCTGGTCCGGAGGTGCACACGGGTACGGACGACAGAGGAATACATGACGGGTTTCGTTTATGTGCTGCTCTATTGTTCTTAGAAGTTGGGGCATTTTAAGTGAGCAGGCACGCTCCAGGGAATCTACACGGCATTGTAAGCAACAGCGCCGGCGGCAGGCAGGTGCCCACCTCCGGCACATCGCAGCCTGTCGAGTGCTCCACAATACGGCGCCAAAAAGGTCGTGCATCATCCACATATCGGAGCGGGCTGTGCGGCCAAGGCATGTTGTAAGCCCTGCAAAGATGCCGCCGCGCCGCATCGGCGAAGGAAACGGCGTCGCAACGCATGTTGAGAAGTTATTGGGGTGGATTGTGGAAAATTGAGAGTTCTGAAGATGCAACGCATGCACGTCAGCCCGCTGAGGCCTAAACGTAGCAGAGCAGGGACCTAGGCATGTGTTACAGAGCAACGCATCCCTCCGCAACCGCACGTTCCTGGAAGATATGGCAGGTGTGCTAGTAATATGTCTAGCTCCGTTCTTGAAGTGGGTAATTTTATGCAGGTCACATACTACAGGTGTACATGTTTCAGTCCTTGGCGGGATGGCCCACAAAGCAGCAAGTACCGCCACGCATGTCGTGATCGCAACGTATACAAAGCTGCATGACACGACTGTTAATACACCGACAGCTCCACGGCTGCTCTAACGCCAGAGTCGGCGCTAAAGCAGCAGGCTGGGATACCTGGGCGTCAAACTCATAGCTGTCGCAAGATCAGGCTCTGGCCGCTGGCACAGTTATTTGTATTACTGGACAAGAGTGTTGTTGCCACAGCCGTGTCGCGGGAAAACGCCAGCAATGCCTTCAACCCTGCCTGACGGTGGCAAGTACCTACCTACGAAATCGCGCAAGCACCTCCTCGTCATTTAAATGGCAGCCATACGGTCTCGCGTAACGAAGATAAACAGCCGAAACAGGTTCCGAGGGAACCAGGAACGTTCCTGCTGCGTCTACAAGAACAGCACGATAACAAGGCCTCCAATTCGATGGACTGTCAACGGCCAACGCTTCAGCTGTGAACGTGCGTGCTGTTTGCCGGTTAGCGCGGCAAAATGACAAGCCATGATTGAGAAGACAAGCTATGCTTAAACGATGTCCGCAGCCCAGGCTTGGCAGGAGGCGACAGACAGCGCCAACGCCGACGGCGCCGAAGCACTGAGCCAGCATCGTCCAAAGCGAAATGCACCCGGTTCGTTAGGGCGCGATCTACTGTATGAAATCCATTTCAACGCGGGCAAAATACACTGGAAAGCCAAACTGTATCCAGGGGCTGACGAATGAAGTCCAAAGCGCAAACTGGAAGGAGAAATATTTTAACCACTGATCTGCACTTCTGGTGTCACAACACTTTACTCGCTTGGATAATTGGAAACGGCAGCGAGCCGTTATCCTCCGTGGCAGTGTTAAGAGAAAGATCCTGAGTTATCAAGCACTTCAGGTATACTTCCATGGGCGCCTTAGCCCATGAATGTAGGGGACTCGAGAAAGGCGCCATGGTTTCGGAGTGCGTACCGTTATTTGCTTACGTAACAAAGTCCTGACCCATTTGCGTAGCATGGCAGCATAAAATTTAGTTGTTTCTCGCTCCCTTCATAATAGATACGGATTGATGGGCACGAACATAGTAGGTTTGCGTCCCTTCCACAGTGGCACACGCCAAGCCCTGCAGGGAACCTGGAGTAGATGTGCACTTATCGGAGATTTGGACCTGTAAAATTTCACCAGACGACGATATGTATTAAGGCTGTTTTACCATGTGAGAAGAACTCTTTAAGAGTATGAAAGCGAAATGAAGGAACGAGCCCTGTGTTCATAAGTGTCGGTCTAATAAGAATATCCTTTCCAATCTATGCGGATGCTTACACAAACTGTGTATGAGGGCAGGGCACCCAAATTGAACCCCAGGACGCACAAGGATATACACTTCCGAGGGGTACCTGTGTGACGTGTACAGCCCCACACCCACAAGGTCCTCATACTCCGAGGCCGTTGACGCCTTTGACATGGCTGCCAAGCTGCTGGGCTGGCTGCGGCCCCCCGCCCCTGCTGAACTGTAGCCCGCTTGCCCCGTGACCACCGTCAAGGTTGATGGTGGAACGGACGGCGGCACCATAGCCGTTGACGCCGTTGACGCCGCTGCCAAGCTGCTGAGCTGGCTGCGCCACCCCGCCCCTGCTGAACTGTAGCCCGCTTGCCCCGTGACCAGCGTCAAGGTTGATGGTGGAACGGACGGCAGCACCATAGCCGTTGACGCCATTGACGCCACTGCCAAGCTGCTGGGCTGGCTGCGGCCCCCCGCCCCTGCTGAACTGTAGCCCGCTTGACCCGTGACCAGCGTCAAGGTTGATGGTGGAACGGACGGCAGCACCATAGCCGTTGACGCCGTTGACGCCACTGCCAAGCTGCTGGC